GTGACAAAGTAGAGCCCTCAACACAGACCAGACACCAGAGCCTTCCCCCAGCACGGAACCCTCTCTCCCCACCAAAGGCCTCTCCCAGCATCAGGGCTCCTTCTCCGAGCCCCCCCACCCCCTTTATAAGGGCCTGGAGGCCACATTGGAGTCACGTGGGTAACCGGGAGCCGCCTCCCCATCGCAGAGCCTTCAGTTCACCACCTGCCCCGGCCGTTCGGCTCAGTGGATAGAGCGCTGACCCGTGGCCTGAAGGGTCTCAGGTTTGATTCTGGTCGAGGGCAGGGACCGCGGTTGCAGGTTCAATCCCCACTAGGGTAGGGGTGCAAGCAGGAGGCAACCAATCAATGTGTCTCTCTCACATCGATGTTTCCCTCTCTTTCTCTCTCTCTCTCTCTCCCCACCTGCCCCGGCCGTTCGGCTCAGTGGATAGAGCGCTGACCCGTGGCCTGAAGGGTCTCAGGTTTGATTCTGGTCGAGGGCAGGGACCGCGGTTGCAGGTTCAATCCCCACTAGGGTAGGGGTGCAAGCAGGAGGCAACCAATCAATGTGTCTCTCTCACATCGATGTTTCTCTCTCTTTCTCTCTCTCTCTCTCCCCCCCCACCTTCCACTTTCTCTAAAGATCAATGGAAATAAATTGTCAGGTGAGGATTAAATATATATATAATTACATGTGTATATATAGAATTTACTATAGAATTAAAAGATAGGCAATACTTAGGGATCCATTGCATGAAAGACCCTCATGCAATGAAAACGGAAAGATATTCATGAAAAGGCCTCGATTCGGGGGGGGGGAGGAGCTAGAACCCCTCTTCATGGACTGGAAGGCTCGGGGGTGGTTGAATTGTCAATTTCCCCCCAAGTGTCTTGTAGATTAAACACCCCTTGCCCCCCAATATAATAGATCCCCCATTGGCGGCTACAGCACCTTGTGTGTGTTCCCGCGTCCGCTCTGGGGGTGGGGCTGCTTCCTGGTTTTGTGCCTCACGCTCCTCACGGACACGTGCGGCCCCCTCGCTTCCCGCTGAATGTTTTTAATAAGACGTGTAATTAGAGCGTCTTCATTTGCTCGCGAGCCTTGGGATCCAGGAGCGCTGGCTGGCGGGGCGGGGAC